ACAGGGCGTTGAATGAGACAGATTTACACTCCCTTCACTGATCAAATGAGAATAATTAGGAATTATTAAATCGTGTAATGAGAATCGACTGCATTGTTGGTGGACATCAGCTGGCTGGGATGAGATCAGGCTACAGCGACTGCCAGTGTAGGTAGCTAGACACTGGTCAATTATGGGACAGCATTGACCATGGAATGGTATACCTGTCACACCGCTGTGTACATTTGTTATAGTGTCAAGTCAACAGTGTTTGGTTGGAGCTAGTTTTGGACAATCAATTGAAAGTAGAAAATGATGGAGAGGGAATTACGTTGACCATAAAGCTTGGTCTCCTGGTTATTATTGATCAACAACTGTCCTAACCTGACTTGATTACTATTCAAACAACACACAACTCTCAGTCAAAGCCTTCCAAAGGTCGAACGCCACAAGCAGCGACAGGATGTAGTATTGATGGACTTATTCGTGGTGGATTTGTCTTTCATAGCAAATGTCCTACTATCAATCATCCCTTACACAAAATAAGCCTCCTGCCATTACTTCCACACTATGGGAGACATATGAACAAGTCAACACAATGCAATCAAACACCCATTCCGCAGTTTGAGAGATTCCAAAATTGATGACTCTGGGCTGTTTTTTTAACATGTATGCAACAAGTCTTAGCTGATTCAAGCCATCAAATCTTAATAAGATTTCAATTTCAAACCATTCCAAGCATTTGAAAGAGACTTTCTGGAAACAAAATTAGCTAGGATTTTTTCACAGTGGTGTAGAAAGGAAAAAAAAATCAGTAAGAAATGCATTCAATTAACACATTCTATAAAAATGTCAGGCACCAAAGATAATAACTACTACAACGGAAAAGCCTCGTCATCTCCTTTGGAAAACCTGTCACTCATTTAATTGCAAATGTTAGCGCTAGGGTTCTGACCCTCTCGAATCGTGCCCTACAGTAATCACAGCTGATGCAATAATATTGCTCTCCCCAATTCCAGTACTTCCTTCCTGAACAAAAACAAACCGCACCACTAGAGTCTGTGTCGCCAGTGCTTGGCAGCCTCAACAGGAGCCATTAGGGATAGGCCAATTGTGTGACTTATTGGTTACCAGATGCCAGGAAATCAATAGTACACGATCTGTACACGTCACACGGGCAATAAGGACCCAGGTAATATTAACAGGCCAGTTTAGAGTGCAGAAGGAATCAAGATGTTGTAGGACAGAGAATGGTGAATACAAAATCAATGCATCATCTGAAATGTCAGATAATCTAAGCCTAATACGGAACAATCCTAAGAAAACCAATTTAGCCTTCACGCAATTGACACTGAAGGACAGTTTAATGATCAATACTGAAAATTAAATCTTTCACTTTCCTCAAATGAAAAGTGCTGATACTGGTCACTTCATACAAATGAACAATACTGAAAATGAAAACTTTCACTTTCCTCAAATGGAAAGGACCAAAAGATGATCTCCTGATAATAGGTGAAAAATATTTTCGTTACTTTTATTGTTTTAAAACAGAATCCTGTATCTCAGATACACTACTAGAAATATAACAAAAGCATGTAGATCAACATAGAACTTGTTTTAAGACTGAAAGTAGAAGTTTATCACGAGGATAAATAAACAGGCCTACCACAATGACAATACAGAGAACAGCCATGGGCATGTGTTTAGATAGGCATAAAACCCCAAGAAAGTAAATGTATTACCACAGACGGCGCAAGAAAACTCCATTTACAAGTGCTGTCATTGCAAATTGTCACACTAAACGACAACTGGAGAGTACGAGCATTGGTATTGTCAAATGCTGCCAGCTGTCCGATAGAACTGTCGTACACAATTTGCTCCCTGCCATGGCGTAACACTGCCAACCTGTGTGGTACCTACACCCCCTCACCAGTTAACTAGCAATGATTACAGTGCCTGCTATTCTCACCATCAGAAATGAAGGCTTTTCCCTTTTCAAGAAGATTTTTTTTTTATTTCTGTCTTGTGCGTTTCTTCAAAGCATACAGCAGTGAACATACCCAGATTTCCACCAGCTGTGATTGAGATCTAGACCATACAACCTGTAACAAGTTTATCTCCTGGTTCCCCAACATCAGATCTCCAATGATTTCAGTTAACCTGTGTAATGGTAGTAATGTGTATGCTACTGCCTCATTACATGTGTGAATGTAATCTCTACTATCTGTAGGTTATGGTTCACCTCCACAGCAGGAGAGCTCGTCATCTTCTCCTTAATGACACCCAATTCTATACCCGGTCCCCTTATTATAAAACATTTACACAGCTCCCTTCACTTCTATAAAACGAAGATGGATGATCTTATCACAAAACATAACATTGTTTCTCAAACTTAAGCAATAGAGTTTGTGGGTTTTTTAACTTTATTGATGTATATCTTACAAGGGAACATTTATTAACTTTCAATTTTCTTTTAATACAAAAAGGTAAGCAGCATTTGAGTAAACCACGCTATGCGACATAAACAAACCCATTATGCTAGTCATGTTTTCAATGAACCTCATTTTGCTGGAGAAAAAGATCTCTGATCATACTGATCATTTGTCATACTGTTGACATATTCCAAAGAAAAAAAATCTTTTCTGCCTTTAAACTATTTGATTTGAAAATGAACAGAAAATGAAACTACTTTAAAATTTATTTTTAAAATTTTAAAAGGTGTCATATAATGAATGCAGCTGCCTTGATACAGTGAGTGTGAATTGTCCAATGATAAACAAATGCTAATATTACTCAATAAATCTTGGTAATAAAAAGAAATTCTACCGTCTACCTACCCATGAAAACGGAGTCACAATACTAATTAAAATCTGAAGAATATCAATTTTGCAACAGTCAGACAGGGAACTTACTGCCCATCCTATGTCCCTAGATAATTTATAGTTACATACAAATTTCAAGGCTCCAAAATTTGTGAGTTTTAATGTCCATGAACGTCTTTCGTTTCATCAACAATCATGTATGTTGATGTCTACCTTGAATGTATTAACTTTTCCTCCTTCAATGCAAATTCTATGTCTAGAAACTGTCTACATGGATTTCTTCAATTTGACTTTTATCTCATAAATCTTTTTTTGGCTGAAGTCTGTTTACAAACCCGTCATTAGGATTGTAAGTCTTTGAACAATCTAGACATTTAAATTACTCACTTGCTTGCAAAGACTCTTAGAGCTTTGATAAAAAAAAAAATGAAAAAGAAAATAACACTTTGTATCAGACATAAAAATTAACATTTAATATGACAGCTGATTGAATTTTTTTAATACCACATTCTTGAAATTTGTTGTTATAATGTTTAATGGTATAGTTCGGAAAATATGTTTATATTTATTGACAAGAACTAAAATGATTGTCAAGCTTGGTGTGGTGTGGCCCCCTTTCATTGCGCATGCCCCTGAAATATTTCTGTGACCATCGCTGGTTCCCAGGCAATAGCATCAGGTTCTAATCAGTCAGATAGTCAGTTATACATAAAATATGATTTGTATTCCATAAATATGTTTTCTGTCATATTTTCAAGTAAGAAAACCTGATGGCAGTCTGAATGATTTGAAATCAATTCCGCCCTCATTATCGTTGGCTTTACAAACCGTCACAGCAACAAGCTTTTCTAGCGCTGACAGCATCAGACAAGATATGCAACATTTATCCGAGTGTTCTGGATTTATGAGGTGGTATGACAGTTCCATCCCCTGGCTAAATTAACACCTATTGATTCTGCAGACATGTGATAATCATTTCCACATCTACAATATCCGTCAAGGAAGCCTGGTGTTCAACATGTAGGGCCAGGTATAATCAAATCCCATCTCAATACCATTTTCTGCTTTGATAATTAAGATAATAACTCATTGCCACTTTGGGTTTGGACGAAATGGGGAGGGCTGACCTAAATAGGTCCCTGTATCAGGGTAGGACACCATCTCCACTGGTTTCCTGGTGGTGTTACCTTGGTACTACAGGGTGGGGTTGATCATAACTATACCTTTTGAAGCGACAGCATGCTGATGGCCGTCATCATTTGCTATTGTGGTAAGCAGAACATGAACAACACAGACAATCGTTTATTAGGTATTTTACTGTCACTCCAAGTATATCATAGATGAAGCCAGTTGTCAAACAGATTTCCAAGTGTATTTTATTTATCTTCAAAGATTTGTGCCAATCGACAGATGTTTAAGAAAGTTTACAGAAAACTGATTACTTTCACTCCAGCCAAAATCACACAAAGTTCTGTTTTAACCACACTCCATCTGTTGAAAACAAGATCTTACATTACCAAGATGAAACGTCCTCTGTGATTTCTATACTCCTGAGTTAAGAGTAGTTCATCTCTCATCACAGTTCATCAATAGGAAGTAGGTAATTTTCTATGAATAGGATAGAACTAGTCTAAGGAGTGGGAGATACCCTACAGCCATACGTATGGTAGGCTCAGACCAACAAAGCAGGGGATTAGGGTTAGAATCCAGACAGGAATGAACAAGTCTCCTCTTTCCAGATGCTCCCCTCGTTTGAAATTGTATACAAAGCAGTATCCTTGGCCTTCTGTTGGACTACGCTTTATACTGATCTAATTACAGGAAAGGTACCCCGTGGCACAGTATTTGATCGTAAAAACACATCAGTCAACATTATAGAGCACTCCACATGGAATATGGTCAAAACAAAAAGTTATGCCTGTTTTTTAAAGTAACTTCTGTTTAACTTTTTGAAAATGATTGTTTTTAGTTAATTTGATTTTGATGTAAAACAGTCAATACTAAAGAAGTTATAAATCACAAAAAGGCACAACTTAAGTATCATCAACTACTTATCTAACGAAAACTGGAAGACAAACAATACCAAGCACAGTTTGGACTTCTATCAGTGGTTGTCTGTGGAAAGGGATTTGCTTTTTAACTTTGCAGCATCCGTGGCCGATATAAACCGGCCTACATGGAAAGCATACTGAAACTTACCCCAGCCATTGTTTTGATATTGTGTAAAGCATTCTGTGCATCTAATGCTGCTTTTCTCGTAAAAAAGGTGACGAAACAACATCCTGAAAGAAACAAGAAAATAGCAATTAATATTTCAAATTTTAAGAAGTATAAATTTCTCATACATTAAGATGCAATTGTGATGTCAGAACTCAGAAGTGTGTGATTTTTCTTGGGGAAAAAAAGGCAGACTTATGCAAAGAGGCTACATGTATACGTTATTGTCTATCTTAGCAACCCAATATATAGACAATCTCACATAAACCTACATATAATGTAGCAATCTAGTACAAGATCAGGTAAGACCTGATGTATGAAAGACGACAAACACATGGAAGCTGTTTTCAACACACAACAACATTTTTGTATATTTTTTATTTTGTGACTTGTTTTAATACAGATCAATTCAGTTAAAACTGTGATGCTGTCATTATAATTTCTTTTTCTTTCCAGTAGTGTAAAATCTAAAATACTAGATATACAGCCAATGGACAACACCCCACATACAATCAATTAATAACAGTATTACAAGACTGCTACATCTGTACACAACTCTAAACCTATAATCCCCTACCGAGAACAATAGAAAACCCTGGTAGGACACTTCTAAACCACACTGACACAGTACAAACTTTCACCTTAGACAAAACTTGGCTTGTTTGTGTTTATCAGAGCAGGAAAAACTATTGAATGGGTCTGTTTATTTGTTCAATGAAACAGGTGGATGCGCTATACAATAACGGCTGGAATTCCTGTTATACAGAGAAATATCCAGTCCGACAAGTTTTCTGACAGGCTTGGTTAGGTCCTACTTTATATAAACATAAAAACTGTAAGGGTGGAGTACTAGGAGTATTCAGATCTACTCTCCATTGTTGTACGTACTATCCATCAGATTTTCATCAGCATTATAAAGAAAAGACAGTCGCCACCAAACAGGGTAGGCGTCATATTTAGTGAAATATCTTTTTATCGGTGATCTGAGTAAGCAATGATTTATATATTATAGCTCAGGAGGCAAAAATATGTTAAACAAAGCGTCCTTAAATCAACTTCAAATTGGTCCACATCAACGAGAGTAAAAGATGATTTAAGATAAAGCTGTTAGGTCAGGTAATGTTATATGTACATATAGATGTAAATTATGTATCTGTGTCCTGATCAGGAGAGAATTATTATCATTAGTATGAACAGCCATGGCATAACAATTTTAAATTTCCCCGTTTATATCAAAGATGTATTTTCATTTAAAATTCATGTGAAAATATCTGGATTTTTTTAAAGAAATACTGATATATTTACAAAGGAGTATGATAAGAAAGTCATTTTCCATAAAAACCAGAGTTTGATAAATGGCAAAGTTTGATGAATAGCATTTCTTTCTAAATATGACACACTGCATGGTTAGATGAATAGAAATTTGAACATTTAAAAACTGATAGGAGGAAATGAATTTCACAAAATCAAAATTGCATTACATATTTAGTATTAGAAGTGTTTTTTTTTTCAGTTTTGACATCATATTTATAATTCATGAAAACTTTTAATCTATTCTAGAAACAGCTGCTGTGACCACATAATACATAACAAATCGTATCAGATGCTCATCAATCAGGAAGAATCGCTGATGTACAAACGTAACTGCAACACAAAAAGTTGGTATATTTAATGAAAACCATTTCAAAATTCAACTTTTTCCTGAAGTGTCACACTTTTATTAAATGCAAGAGGAATATTAACAATGACAGGTTGTCTAATTGACAAACACCCTAAAATGGTCAGCAGAAATGCAGAACAAACTGTACAGTAATTTACCTATATATCAATCATACATATGCTATTTTATTTCACCAAGAGACTTCTTTCCCTAATTAGTCATTATTGTAGATCTATATGTGTCACCAACCACATTCATCCTGATAAACAGCCTACTCCAGGAGCATTGTATCTTAAGTCTTTCATCCATACAAAACATCTCACCAGACAAAAACCGGCGTTATTTGTGTACATCTGATGATCTATCTCAAAATATTTCTATCCTGAACACCAATAAACATGAGGCTTTAGTCAGTGTGTATGTTTTACACCTGATGAAGCCCCAGCAGGGCCTTCCCTACTCCTGCTGACAGGTGAGCTCTAGCCAGGGCCTCACAGTAGGACTAGATACAGGTGATAAGGACACAGTGAGGGACTTCACTGATAAGTATCATATTTTTTTCCGAGGGATCATATTCAGAGGCTAGGATACCGGATACTGTTTAGCCTCTGTATCATTGACCTTACTGATCACCTCTTGGGACACTACCTGTTGAAATTAACAGCAGATACAACAAAATGTTACTGTCACCACCGTTTGGTTACAAATTAACATATCAAAATAAATTACACCCCAAGGGGAGAAGTTAGGTTGCAGTAAAAAATGTAGACATATAATAAGAATCCAAAACAAAGATTCAGTCATATCATTTTTAATACCTGCAGTTTTTAAGAAAGCTTTAAGAAGAGAAATTCCATGACAAGCCACAGATCACCTTTTGCCTCTTTCACAGAAAGAGAATAAGAAAAGATTTTCAAGAAGGCCACATCACAAATGCCCTAATTCCTCTATTGATCACACACAGTGAAGCTTTCAATATCACAAACTGTTGAAATAAAATGATACTACCAGGGATTTCCTACAGTGATTTGGAAATCTGTCTCTTTCGTGAGAAGGTGTTTTGTTTCTTTTTTCCATTTACTAAAGTAATGGCTATGCATTGCTGACATATAGGTGTAGAATCCATGTTACAGGTTTTTATGCTTGACTGGCATGTTTTACCACTTACAATACAGAAATTACATTGACCTTAGATTTTCTAGATTTCTGGTACTGATGATGATGACACACATATATCCATTTAAACAATATGGCGTTATAGACTCTCCACCTCAAACGTTCTGTTCATTGGAAACCCCAAAATCAAATACTTGGAATTCATAAATAGTTTAAACCTACCTAAAACCTGTTGGTCTGTTTAAAAAGATATAACTAAATCATAGCCACTTAAACAATGTGTGATGTCATACCCTTTAACATGTTCTATTTTTATATTGGCCCGTTATAAGAACCTAATAATAATAATGATAGTCTAGTATGAATACACAATGTGCATGTTCCCAACAATGTTTACATCTTATTCGTCATAATAAACCAAAAGGTCCTTAAAATTCCGATATGAATTGAGAACTACTTAACTTGGTTTTTTTGTTACCGAGCTATGTTTCAATCACAAAATAATTTAAATGCCTTAGCAGAATTTCCTATATATGTTCTAAAGATCTGACTTGATGCATTGTCATAAAGTTCTGCATTTTAATCCGACTGACTTTGATTTTGTACAGTAACTTTACAGTATCAGTGTCAGGAAAGGATCCATTCAAAAACCCACACATACAGAAAGTAAACAAATGCCTTTAAGGTCAGACATGTTTCTGTAAACAAGTGGTTTTGACTTTGAGAAACCCACACATGAAGGGGGTGGACCCCAATGTGTTATCGTAAAAGCAAGATAGAAAAGACAATGGTGAATAGAAAGGGCTACTATGACAGTAAAGGAAATACCCAATGAAATTTCCTTCAATTGTCCCTTCAGGAAAAGGTGGGGGACTGTAGTAGCGAGATCACTTAAAAAGATGTGTACAAGCAGAAATACAAATGTATTTACTTTGATTCATATAGTTAGGAAGGAAGCTATCACTTACATCCATTGTCTGAATGGAGCCTACTGAAAGTAGGTATTGTCAAGTATACGTTATTCATCATAGATGCTCAATGATAACATTCACCCATGTGTACTGGGGTATTAATTTCTATATTAATAAACATACTTTCTCTGATGGGCAGTAGTAGGATGTTTTACCTTGAACAAAACATATGGTGATTTGTTTGGGTTTTTTTGGGGTTTTTTTAAGTATTCTAGTCCGATGGTTGTTATTTAATGATTATTCTGGAGCTTGATTGACCAAGTCCCCTGGGATCACATCTAAATGCATATAGTGCTCATAAAGCTAAAACCCAAGGCTCCTCCACTCCTGGATTTTACAAGCATGAATAATGCTGGCAGTGAGGTGTTTTTTTACTGGGCATTATTATTGTAGTAGGGGACGGAGTCCACTTAGATAAGGATTTTAAGAGGTGGGAATTGTATTAATCAACCCTAAACTGGCTGCAATATGGAATCAATATCACAATCAATTATTTTATATCGTGCATATTACCCTCAACAACTGACATCTGTTCTGATTTCCTCCTTATCAGTGGCTTTTGTGCTGAGCCTACTTCAGGATCACTACTGCATTTTATTGGACAGATTGCCAGACCTGTACAAAATTTTACAGTCACATTAGCCAAAAGTTTCAACGATTCTCCCACACTAACAAGTCTGAAAGGTGACACAGAGCAAAATGTTGAAATATTCCAGAAGAACAACACTATTGAATACCACCCTGGAATGTTAATATGGCATCAAGACCGTCAAAACCAGGGAACTTGAACTCATTCACCCCTACATGTTTGAACTAGACTTGCCCAGTCTTTGATTTGGTAAAATTTAAATGTGACTTTATGGGTGAATACCGGGTGAAGGCATTACTTTTCCACATACAGTAATAATGTATGGTGGAATCATCAGAGCTTTCATTAGCATGGGTCAGACTGATCAAGGTCAAGACCCATTGACCAAGGTCAGGAATTTATGGTCAAGTACATCAGTACTAATGCAGCTGTCCGACCATGGTCAACAATGAGAGGAGGCAGGTTGCCAAGCTGAAGCCCGAAATATAACTTTGGCCTCATAAAACTCATATTTCCTATTTACCTGGTAATATTTTATTCAAACTTGGTTCACCTACTGAATTTACCATCAGGCCTGCAATGAAGCTGTTGGCATACAAATTATGTAAGGAACACCCTGGGTCACTCTAGTTACTGTATTTCTGACCATGATCAGTCTAAATACCAGTCTGCGACGTTAGGCACTAGTCCGATGCCCACGACTAGTAAATTTAAGTCTGGACTAGTATTGAAAATATTTAACTTGTCCGACTGGACTAGTGGGAATTTTCCTCCAAAATAATGGAAATATTATTAATGGTATATATTTTGCACTATAAAGCTTGTCACAAGTTCTAATCCTATCATAAAATACGGTATTCGTCGAAGCTTCGAAGTTTCGATAAGCAATCGCGACACTGGGTTCCGGATTTTAGTAGTTACCGAACATTACTTCCGGTTTATAACCACGTGAAACCAACCATGGCGATGTTGCTAAGTTGGAGGAAAGGTTCAAAACCACCTAAGCCTGTCTGTGAACCGACAGAAAAATTGCTCCAACACAAAAGAAAAAAATACGGTTCTGGCTAGTGCTTAAAGGCTCGATGGAAACAACAGTAATACTGTATTAGAGATAATTGGGGATCACGTTCTGTGCTCCGTTTCTTTAGTTAATTATTGAGAGACATTTTGTTTTGATTTCTAATAATTTTCCAATTTAAATCACAATTTACACTTCATGCTGTAAAAAAGCCCAGTCTGTAATTTGGACTAGCAAATTCACAGTTGGACTATTAAAATTATGGGTTCACTAGTCCAAATGACTAGTAAGGAAAATAGTTAACGTCACAGACTGAAATACTGGTCCAGTCTACAGCCATGTACTGGTAATAAGTCCTGCATGTACAGTAGTACCTAGCTACAGCTGAATGTCTTATCAGCCTTAGCTTCCTATCAGAAGGTGAAAACTTGCACTAACAATATCACGGCTGTCTTCCCTAGTGGGCCCTGTTAGGTCTGTTTACCTATGAAGATTACACACAATCCTAGCATTGGCTTCATTAGATTGTAATGAGGAGTACATCAAGTCACAGAACATACAGTGGAGGCGCTTGTAAACCGGTCATGAACACCAAATAGATCAAAAGATATCAGCAAAATATTGGACAGGTGTTCAAATATATACATTAATTGCAATAAAATTATGTTATGAGAATATTAAAAGAACTTCAAAAATTTGAAAAGGAATCATGAATGTGTATTATTGTCATAAGACTACAATAACATTAACAGGGCCACCAGGGTTCAACTATAAGCACTTTTCTATTAGTTCTAAAGCCAAACTTACAGTATGTTTATTATCATGTGCAGATGATCTCTGTAGTTTAGCTGTTTCATGAGAGTTTTGTGGCCCAAACATCACACCAAAGTTTTACTACATTTTTATGTGTAGCTATGAATTGTGAGGGTTTTTACTACTTCTACTCTGTTTTTTATGACTATTATCACATCCATAATTTCCTTTTTTTAACATAAACGAAAAAATTCATAACTTTCAAACCAGTAAGTCATACAAAACTCCTATATCTTTTACTATAACTTAATAAGTAAACGGTTCATTCCATCATTGTTCCCTAATACACATCAGCCTATAGGTATTAACTAAAGCCGCAGATTCCTTGCATACGAGTGTTCTTTTTGCAATACCCATTCAGACTAGATTTATTTCCAAATCCGATTCTCTAAAGGTTTAGGTGACCCATATTTACACAAATGAATTTGGCATAATGCCTATGTCAAATTTTATACTATGATCTAATCAGGTGAAATCACTGGCAAGCTGATCACAATGAACTGGGGGATTAACCCAGGTGCTGGTTGTTAGGATAGGGAAAGACTCTTAAGTGCCCTTCTGTATCTAACCATGCTTTTAAATCATCATACTATATATATATATATACCTGCAGTATAGGTATTGGATAAATTTAACTGTGGTATGTAGTACAATATTAGATATCAGTTTGATTAAAAGTCTTCACATGCTGTTACATCAAAGGATACTGGATTACATTTATTTGTGTAACAAGTTCTCGCTGCAGCAAAATACAAGCAACATTATACACTTTCATGAACAGGTCTTCTGATCTACAAATTCCTTTTTTTCTGCTCCATCTGCTTCATTTTGTAAGTTATTCAGATTTTTCACTGGAATGGAATGACAGGACAGTAGATGTTGCTATACACAAGGTAAAAAGGAACCTCTCTGTTAATCGAAATAAAAGTTGCATTTCTGCCTTCACTTTTTCAAAAATAAGGGCAGTTAGCTATTAGTAGGCCAAGATTTTTACTATGCAAAATATTTTGTAAATTTTAAATACCGAGATAACAATTTGGACTCTGTGTTTGTCTAAAGTTCACTGAAGAGTTAGGGTAGGTCCTACATAGATGATCACATGAGAAGCATATAATTCTCCTTGTCTGGCCTAATAAATACGAAGAAGGCAGTACTTTTCACATATTTATGCACATACTAATTCATACACCTCTCCAGAGAGATGACTCCCATAAATAAAGCTAGACAAAGACTTTGCCTCGTTCAGCTGTCTGAAGCAACCTAAGATAATGCATCTGTACTTTACACGGGTCCAGTTGCACAAAGTGGAATTCCCTGGAGAAAACACATACATTCAAAGTAGTAGCATTATCAGCCAAAGGTGTACTATCTAAGGCTATTACATTAGTATAGGTTTTCAGACTTTAAGTAGGATGTATTTAATTAGAGTAAAAGCAATCAATTTGAGTTATACCAATTCAGCTACTAATGAAAATGTCTCCTTGTAAACTGTGTAAACTGTAAGACAACCTGATGCATTATCCAACTTGATGTAAGAGTCTCTCTGTCTATGCGTTGATATCAGCCATTACATACAGCAAGGCAGGTTTTTCAATGATTCTGAATGTGAATTTAGGCTTGCATCCAGTTATCACTTCAATGTACATCACGATCCAACAACACCTGTTTGAGAGTTGACTATAAAACTGTTTCAGAAGTTTATCAGATTTTTTTTTCCTATCATATGAATATTTAACCGGAAACCATTCAAAACTTCCTTCACCCTACATCTCCATGAGATCAGTTGCTATACACGACACCTGGGTATCTTGTATGTACTAGTGTATACTCGATCACACAAGCACTACAAAAAAAATGTTCTTCCATTTCATAAATTTTGAATTAATCAACACTTAATTGTTTTTCTTTATAATAAACCTATCATTAGATTCTGCTTTGTCTGCGTTTTGCAAGCTTCTGGTCAGCATATGCAGACTTTTATCAAGTTTGGAATGTTGCAACCATCGTGTGAGGTAAGCAACAAAACTTAACATTCCTTATCCAATACATTTCTACGTATTGAATTTAATTTTGAACTCTGTACTGCCCCAAAAACATCAATGTTTGATTTCTAGAGTTTCAAATAAGAACCAGAAAAGACCTACTTTACAAAGTGAGCATAACATCTGTAACCTTGAAATAGATCAAATTTCAAACTTCATACTTAGGTTACACAAAGCAATAATACTTGAATTACATTTCTTTAACTGCAGAACTTTTACAGGAACAAATCCCAGCCTTGAAAAATGTCATTTGATTGCACTTAGCTGCGGTGTACTGAAGTATTATTCACTTATCGTATAAAACCAAAGGCCATGAGTCAGACTTATTATGCTTAAATATCATTCACGGTCATGTGCAAATACAGATCTATTCTTTCAGATGTATGTATATCATCAGCTTTTCATGTCAGGATTATGAAACATCAGAACACATGAATTAAAATGATGTAGGTGTATGGAAATTTGGGTTCGTCTAATACAGTAGACCCCTATTAATAGGGTGTGGGGGGTGGGAAGAAATTCATATTTCCTAGCATCAACGAATATCAATGCATTTAGAGCAAAAATATTCATCTAAAATGAAAGCATAGTATGCTATCAAAGCCCATTAGGATAAGGCTAAACCATAACAAGGTCTCTTGACCAAGTTAACAAATTTTGTTTAAATTACCTTTGCTCTGTCCTGTTCCTTTATCCCGCAGCACATTTAACTGAAACACTGGACCAAACTCTTCAAACATTTTCTTGAGATCAGCTTCATCCATGGACCTGGGAATCTGACCGACAAACATCTTGATGGCATCTGGATCTGGTTCTGTTTTTTGAGGCTGAGAATTCATGGTTCTGAAGGGAAACACAAAAATAAATAAAAAATTAGAATGAAATTTTTAACCATTGACAGCACATCTCTCACATTTCTTACTGAAAAAAATATGGTATTAGAACAAAGAACACCTTGAGAAAGCTATACATGAAGAGTTCATGTTCTATCGACAAAACGGAGAATCCCTCAATGGTAGTAGATGTCTTCCATATGAATGTTTCTACAACATTGTTTGATGACAGGATTACATAGAACTTCATGTAAAGAGCAGTAGAAATTCAATAGCATGTTTATCAATATTTGTAACATATGGCTAATTTATTCAAAACCATTGTTGAGCAGCACTATCTAGTGGACATTGTTTGACCCACAACTAACCAGAAAAGGATGGCAGCAGATTGATATGGATTTCAAGTAGAAAGTTAATGCCAATAGGTCAAAAAGATCACATAAAGCAAACTGAAAAAGCTTAAAGTGATAGATGAACACTTAAATTTTTAAGTTAACTTAAGAGTTATGAAAATGGCAAAATCTGTTTTAGGTAGAACATTAACAATTTGACGTGAATGACAAAAGGACTTATTAATGGTACAACCAAACTTTTCAGTGATCAGCATCAAACTGATTGTGTTCAAAATAAATAAAAAGTTTTATATCAATCAGAAGACAGAAACTTCTTTCTATTTTCAATGATTTTTGATTTTTTCATTTTGATTTCAATTTTGAATTTTTTTCTTTGCTTGTTACATCTCATTTATCTTTTAAATTATGCTGAGTCCTTTGACACCTTTGACACAATATTACTCCATGCACAAATATCATCGTTAATATAAAAATAATGGTTGTCAATGGAAACCTTCTGTACGCAGCAACACAGTTTTTTTCTTCTTTTGTACAAATCTTGCTGGTTCCAATTATTATGACTGACAGGATCAGTATTATTGTGAATATTGATCATAAAAACATGCTCAAATCATTGGCACTTGACCTGATTACCCCCAACCAACCCACAGGTGCACAAAGAGGAGCTCAAGATCTGGCCATTCCAGTCAAAAGGTTAGACCATTCCTGTGAGGCAGAAACCAATAGGAGGCCATAGCAGGGACCAGATCCAGCAGCTAAGCCTGAAACAAATGCTTACATCCTGATCCGAGTCAGCTGGAGACCTAAGCTTTCTTCTCTTACGAAACCTCATCCTGAACAGCACCCGAGTCCTCCACTCCTACATTTGTATAATCTACACACTATCTGTTTTATGTCAACAATTTAACTGGACTTACGGAACAGCCAAAAAAATGCACTAAAAACATCATTCTTTGAACTCAATGACACAATAAAAATGGTCAATTACTATACTGAAGAAACTGAACAATAGATTGGAGCATTATACATACATCAATATCAGCAACATTTACAGGATTTGTACACAACTTCATGTACTAAATGTACCTTTTTCACTTTCATAATCTGTAATTAAGTTTTATCATGCCTTTCCCGTTGTTTTGATACAAACATCTTTCTATTGTCTTTTCATATATATAAACACTGATTTTCAATTTTTTCCTTTCTATGTTGACAGCATAACTATATAATTTTCCGATTTTTTGAATACCTAAACCTTTTTAAAAAAGGGTTATGATTCTAAACTTTTAAAGCCATTTATAAAATAAGGAATGGGTTTTCAGTAGCAATCAGTGTTTGTGTGTATTTGTTGTATGGTCAAAAAGTTGAAAATCATGGATTTGCCACTTTGTCAGAACTACATTCTGTCTGTACTTAAATTAATAAACTTGTTTGCCCCTTTATCTCCCTGATTTGAGCAACAATGTTTTAAGAACATTTATTCATCAGATCAAAACAGGTCTGCTTTGAAAATAAACTTACATTATCATTATGAAATGTACGTCTAAAACTCAAAGCATCTTGCTAGACAGTGAACTTAGACACCGAAACAATTAGGGGTATTTTAAGTACTTGGCTCAAGATTTACATCCAAACAGACATGTCTTTTCTGTACTACAGAAGCTGAATGTCTGTTAAGAGTCTTCTATTAATTTTAATGCAAGGAAGTCTTCAAAACAGTTCACCAGAATATAAAGCTCTGTTAACAATCTACATGAGATCTTATCCAAGGCTCCATGATAGATCAGAAGTAGAAATAGGCTACCAGATCTACCCACTGCAGCCAGTTAGCTGTGGGAGGGCTGAATATATCTGCAGATCATTACAAAGGTTTAGTTGCAGAATTGTGTCCGAGGAATGCAAACAGGCCATTTAACATCCGATGGAGGAGGAGGGGATGGTTACTGTACGGAAGAAGCTTGGTTGGATGTTGAAAGTGATACATCAGTAGAAACTTAATGGTCAAAGGCCTATAGCTAGGGCTCCACACAACCTGACCCTAATCCACAAATCTCAGCTTACCACACTAACCAGTATAAATACCAATCCAGGATCTGACCAAAAAAAACCTACCATATATATGTATTTTATTACCTGCATTTACTAGCAAGAATTTCAAATAGGTTTTCCTCAAAACCTTTCAAACAGTACATAATTGTAAATAAACCTGTTTTATCTTAGTAATGCTGATAAACGTGTTTCTTATTTCAAATTATTTCAAACAAGTTGCAATTGTTGAAGACAGGAAAGAATGGCTACACAGATGTTAGCAATTAAATAAATTCTTATGGCACATTAAGATCTATTTAGAATTCTCACTAAATGTTTATGAATAATTAATACATGATTTGTAGACCCAGAAATTTCAAAAAGTAAATTTAGTCTAAATGCCAGGCCTTTTACAACCTTTTTTCCTTCACGCAATCTAATACAGGCACATATATATTGTACATTATCACATTTGTGAATTGTAATGGACTCAGTAATATATATTTTATCAAAACCTTATCCTACATCTGTAACCTTTTCACTCTTGAGCTCCCAGCTTCCAACTGTTTAACAGCTTTTGGAAAGTATACCAAATAACCGAAAAATCCATGATTCCATCAAAAACTGAAATCGGCAATATTGAGTGGCTTTATGATGGCAGAAATGGCGTAGGGCTTAATCGGTTATGAGTACTTAACTTCAATAAGGTAGCACTTTTGGGACCATTTTAAATCTCTTCAAAGCTTTAATTGAAAAGTTGGAATAACTTATGGAAAGGTTAAGTGTTTACACAATTTTTTCCCTAAACATTTTAAAGTAAGTTAGCCATATGTCATCACACCAACCAAGAGTGACCCTATACCAGATTGCATGAAAACAAGACAATTCCCCACCAGTGAATGGATAAGATATAGTCGTGTATTCTCTCACAAAAGACAATCATAGGTACAGAGTGATAACCCACCTGCAGGCCTCCAAGGATGTGAAATTTACAGTGTATTCTCTCACATAAGACAATCATAGGTACAGAGTGATAACCCACCAGGCCACCAAGGAAGTGAAATTTACAGTCATCTTTGAAAGCAATCTGTATCCTCCTAAAGCACACCTTATGACAAAGTGTAGAGAAAATCTGTCCATAAATATTCAAGCTAACCAGCAAAAGCTATAGGGACCAATGGGAAAGCTGTTGCGTACATTATGCTCTTATATTGCCCTTTTTGTTAAAATAAGCCTGTGTCCTTCCAACTTCCAACCCCAAGACAGAAAATTACCTAACAGTAAAGTTTGATAAATCAAAATAGTATGCAGAAAACAAATTTGGCCAGAAGGAAGGCAATACCTAGAGACCAATCCTGCAGAGAAACCAATCCTGTAATTCTCTACATGTACAGCAGTGATGATGAATCAGCAGCTAGATTTTTTTTCTACAATTTCAGACCAAGTTAGCAAAAGCAAACATTATCCAGATTCTTCTATGTTTAAATCTCGTCAACCTTTGAAATTTAAAGACTTTCCAAACATTTAATTTTGACTAAATGTCAGGGTAGAAAATATGTTTACATCTGTCTTCGATTCTCTTCCAGACATTTTGGTTTCCTCATAGGCTGTGTAAGTTTTCCTGATCACTTGGGGTATATTTGTGTATACATGAAAACTTTGGGGTAATACTAATAGTTTAAATAGTGTAACAATGATTAATATTCTGACTATACTAAGTAAGTGACATTGGTGATCAGATTTGACAAGACTTATGAGCCATATCATCTGCCAATCACTAAACCAACATGGGATTAACAAGTAGATGGAGACATATGCAATCAGTAGTAAAAAAAAAAATCTTAAGAACTTTGGTATAGGAGTATTTTGACAGGAAAGTTTCCTATGGGGTCATTTAAACAAAATATAAATAAATTTTATAAAATATATCCATTTAGATAACAGACTCATAAACCTGAAACCTTGTGAGATTATACTAAAGACTAATACAAGTCTCTCAAGATCATCTGTTGGGAAGAGTACCATATAAATTTGAGTATCTGAGGATTTAGTATCTGAGGATTTAATGAGACATGTATTTACATGTGTTTAGTATCCCAGGCTGCTGTAAGTGTACATGGGGTTGAGTGATGAGACAGGGGGTCCTATCAGTTTCAGTTCATCACAAAACTCATTTGACAGATAGCCAGTTTATGTTGTTCCAAGACTGGATTCCCCATTACATATTTCCATTGGCCAGGAGCTGAACTGTCCAGCCTGATAATTGATAGGCGTCTATCGCAGTCTGAGTAACCAATACATCATTGAAGCAGTGTTTTAGCTTAAGCCTTTTTTTAAATTTATTTCTCAGCAGGCAATTTGATAAAGTATGAAAATGTGATACTTCATTAAGTAACTTCCAAATGTTTCGAGTCCCCTAGAACAGTTTTGCTTTCAATTTATCACGTCAGTGCCAACACCAACACTGATCCTTTACCACAAGGTCTCCATGCTTTTCTATAAAGAAATTGATTTATTATATAATTAGGCATCATCAAAAGCAAAACCTACTTCAGACACGGATAATCATTTACTATTTAAATCTGTGAACATTCCATAGGAATGCATGCAAACAGAAGTTCAGGCTTCAAGACTATATTTCAGACGTATTATATAACTTTCTGACAATTAGGAATACCCAATGAGCATTTAACTTCAGTTTAAGGAGAACAGTTCCTACATGGTATCATATGTCCACACATATCTTATTCTAGCAAATTCTACAAAAGAAAAGTTTTAAATAGTTTATTTCTAACATCAATAGTTTAAAATTCTTTGGACTTTACATATTTCAATATCTAGTAAACTTAACAGTTTATATTCATTATGAAACATAGACCTACCCTAATAGTAGCCAAAGTTAATATTCTGCTCACCCGGAAGTAATGCATTAGCAAGGTTTTAAGCCACGTGTGCTTGCACCTGTTTCTTGTTCTTGTCAGAGATTAATTTATGTCAACGAAAACACTTTATGTTGAGAAAAACTCAATGGACCTTTCTTCTGATAATAAATGGTGTTTTTATTCAAAACATTTATAAAGACATTTGTTTAATTGTATTTGCTTCGCTTATTTCATATAAAACAGGAGTCACGGGACTGTGTCATGCCAAAAACATGTATAACTAAATGTAACCATGACATTCGGAAAGCACAGCCAAGGTAAATCGTATGTATATATATACTCATTCCAGGAAATGACCAGTAGCTACTTAAGACAGGAACGCAGAATACACTGGATCATTTAAACATACATGCACAGAGCTGAGTTCTTGTCATACACAGAGTTCCAATAATGATTATTTAATTAATCAGATAATACAAGGTAGCACGGTGCAGGTCTTCTATCCACACTCCACTATCTGCCTCATCATTTCAACCACATAGAAATATTTCCACACAAGTATCTCCTAGCCGTTTTACCATCGATCACAATCGCTTTCAGCTGGATACATGAAAGAAACACTTTCTTTCCTCATTCACATCCTACTCAGTAACTATAAAATAAATTTGTGTCTGATAACATGCCTGTCTTTAACTGTTTTTGACATTATCATATACACAATCTTGTCGAGAGAAACACTGAAAACTAATCTTTACTGCTCCTACGCTACCATTTTGCAATGCCATTTAAATGTTTTACAAAAAAAATGTAAAATACAAAAGTTAATTACGTTACTTTACAGTGAACTTTAAGGCAACTGTCCTAAATTAATGATCTTATTGACATAAATTTATTAGAAATTGTAAAAGATCACTAGGTACCATGCCCATTAATATTCTTTAGAATTGGAAACCCAAATAATTAGTTCATGCCCTGATATAAATAAACTTTTGTCAGTTTCTTACCTTGGTCACAAGGTGCAGAAAAACTGCATTAACCACTACTATCATTACATTGAATAAATGCAGTTTAATCGGTTATTTATATATATGAACACTATTTTCTCATCTATTGTGTAACTGCGTCTGACCATGCTTGCAGGAACAGCCCTAACTGACAAAGGTGCTAGTATAGACTGTCCAACTGCAGGCACCCATCATGTGCACAGATAAACAAAGGACTAGCATGTTGGCTGATATATAGATCTAAGTATATCTGTCGGATATTATGCAAGACAAGCCAGCCTCATGTGCTCATCATTTGTACCATGAATAATTTACTTTTATCATCGTTGCTAAGATATACGTCTTGCCAAATTACTCCATGATACTGAGGTTAAACTTCCACCTACTATGATTAGTCTACAAACTATTTTCTTATTAGTCTGTATGTATAGTAAGTTACAGCACCAGAAATAATGCAACAGATCTGAATAATTCATAGCTAGATTGAATCACATGACATGAATACTATATCTATAGAGCCAATTAAACTCAACCAATAGAACACCTTTCATTTTCAATATGAGAAAACAAATTTATACATCTGTATATATATATAATGCATACATGTATACAGAATTTCATTATAAGGGAAATGGGTTAACGCAATGCATGCTTCAGTTGAGCTAAAATGGAAGTTGACAAGATTTCAAATTATTATCCAAATTTCAAATTAATTCATTATTGTGTTTCATTCATTATTTTCATGATCTCTTGAATTGACATTGGAAAATTTAATACAAAAGAAATTCTGCAAAATATTAAACCTGATTTCAGAAAATTTTAATAGCGGGATGAACAATTCCATTCACCAGACACCCAGGGCTAGTAGATATAATGTTGGGGCAAGTGAAAATTTTCAATATTAACCATAAATAAGATATGATGTAACTGTAAGAAATTTTGAAACTAGAAATGTACGAGGTCTTCAACTCTGAATTTAAATCATTATACACTTCAATATAAAAACCCCAAGACATTTTACACAAAATTTAATAACCTGAATTTAAGATAGTTTGGAGTACTTCCATGAAAAAAGAAATAGGATGGACACATACCCTCCTAAACTAGTCGTATCTACAATCCCATTCAGATGGGTGCCATTCTGGATCATAGCGACACTGGACGCTGATATCTCCTCTAACACACTATTTCCATCTGAGATTTGCCCAGAATCATTTTCCATCGGATTACACGTTTTCAAGTTTGAGGAATTGTACGCTATCCGAATTCTTTTACTCTCTAGGCCATCCAGAATGTCCTCGGCACTAGTCGACAAGGATGTATATTTCCTAGTACGTTTGCATAGCTCCATGTGATACATGTGATTGTGGCAATGAGATGCTATTATAATGACACCATCATCAACACACTACCTGTGTGTGCGTAATAACATTAATATGGAATGCCTTATCTTCTGTTCCCTCTCTCAGGGCCGACTATTAGCTATCCCACAGCATACAACAGTAACAGAAGGCCACTACAGACTTTACTCCTGTGATGATGTGTAGTTATGACAAACTAGGGTGGTATCCTCCCCCAATGTTTGTTGCTTGTGCCACGCTAAGATACACTTGAAAGCGTTGATGTGGTCCAATCACTACTAGGTTCCGCTACCAATCCCCTTCATTTGATAAGATGAAGTGTTCAGCAAGGAACCAGTGTGGTTACTGCATCCCAAGCAAAATTAACAATTAAGTTGCTGGAATAAGTTGGAAACAGATGTTGTGGCCCCAACAGAAAATTCCTGTCTGCCTTCAGTTGAGAATATTTCCACAGAAATAGCCGGCACTTTAATATCAAAAAAGTTTCACTGGCGAATTTAAAAATCCAGCAAGTCTTCAATACTTCATAGGGAACAAATAGTTCACTTCACTATGTAATGTTAAGCTATTAAATACATGTACATAACAAGTTTCACACCGAATTTAAAATCCGTCAATGTACATACTGAGTCCGAAATACACTCATTAGACAATACACAAAATTCTGTACATACACTCCGTCTGCAAGTGGGTGAAAGGGTATGTATGATGCATATGTATGGAGAGTTTATAACAATACACGCCTTTAAATACCTTCCAAGTCCCTTACTCCACAGGTAAATCAACACCCTATACTTTAGCTACGATAAAATCAGGGAAACTTTCTAGGGTAGAATGGGATTATAAAAGATGTGATCAGATGAAAGGACAACATTCCAGGTAATTCAAACCAAAAATGAATCGTAGATGATATGAATTTAGTCATTTAAAACTGACCCCCGAGAAACTTAATGTTGAACATGAATTTTATCCCGACAATGAATCGTCCACCGACAACTGATGTATACATTTCTAGTGTGCGACATTATCGATTCAAATGCTTCAGCTAGTGGATACTTACCTGGTCCTTTCACCTGTAAATATTTACAACAATATTCTATTGTTCAAACACACTAAAATATTTATTGCAGTACAAGTGTAACAGACTGGTATACCACAGCACAAACAAATGTGTTGAATTACCCATCCATCTGTTTGCATGTTCAAACAAAACATTGAAGACAGCAGTATGACAACTTCACAATGATGCGGAGCTGAAAAAACTAATCAATTCATACTTATATTCAAATCCCACAGACAAGTACATGGATCTCAATCTCAAACTTTGATCTGGGATGCACTATTTGTTTCTGAATGTAAGTTTATTTTAAAATGTAAAGTACTGTGAGATTTTGGTCGGTCTAGCACTTCTTCATGCCCAAATGTCTTATTTCAAAGAGCGACGTTGATATACAAAGTTAACCCAAGATAACCTCAATACAAGTTGGTTGTTATCTCCAATGTAGAGAATGAACCTAATTTAAAACCCAGGAATAACGGTAGTCGGACATTTAGAAACGTCTGATGTTCCAACCCACAATCTCACACAATGTGGCACATGCAAACACTACCACCACCTCACGAAATCAAGTCTCAACATCTTATTCATCTGGAATTTAACCCGATACAATTAAACGCTTGAACCAATGAAGCGTACACAACAGATAATTTTGTCATTCAACAAGTAGAAAAATAACCCCACACAATCAATACGTTCAGACAATGGCAACAGTATCTGACAAGTCAGGCCAACAATGTTGAAACCTTTTCAGCATACCATTTATTATTCAAAGTCTATAACAGTTTTCCAGTGGACTAGAGACAGCTGTTTATTACATGTCTGCTCATTTGTCTCTCAGGCTACCAAGCCTGACAATGATACAGTGGTCTGTCCAACTAATAAAGGCAGAGTGTTAAGGACACCTCACGAGTTATGACAGAACCAGAATGAGATAGAAATTATACATGTTTCAAGAACACTGACGTAATCTGAATCTCTTCAATAAGTAAAATGATGCATTTTATTTCATAAATTTATGTGGCTGAATATGTTAACCAATATCTCAGAATTTCTACAGAAGTATAAAATGTTTTTTTCAGTTTGCTATAGTAGCTTACCATTTGTAAGTACCATATAAAAGAAATTAATGTTCCCATGTACTTTCCCTAATCACGTTTAAGCTGGAAGGTACTTTTGTAATACTCTCATAAGTTAATACTATTAATCTGTGCACTGAAAATGTCGTATAATCAATGTTATACACTAAATACACATTTAATTTCTAGAACATTTTGTCTATATACATATGACTAACTCTAAAGAACTTGGCTTTATTTTAAACAGATTATATGTTTCGTGGATGAATTATTGGAATGAGATTAGAAAATCAAAATAGGGCCACAATATTCACTCTCTGAAATGGTCTAAAGTGGCATGGGTTTACCGAATTTACAGAAATAGAACTTCAAAAATAAAAGACTCCTTTGTGAATGTATGTTCTACTTTTGTAATTTATAACATACCCTTAGGTCACTTTAAAATATCTTTATGCCAATTAGCGAAGATTAGGCTTAGAGACTTAAATGTTCAGCTCTGAAAAAAAATTCTTTGTGAATGATTATGGTTTATAATTAATGACGCTGAATTAAACAGTACAGAGCACACATTTTCATAAACATGAATCACATGTTACAACTTACACTTCCTGAAGTCAACGTTCTGAACTTACTAACTTACACATGGTACAAAAAATAGAATATTGGTTCAGAGTCAAGCCTATTTATATCTCCCTTTGAAAGATGTTTACCACACAAGTTCTGACTGAGGGACAATAGTGACTTGAGAAGCTATAATTTTCCTAAAGTAACCCAGGATATTCAGGAGCAGAGCCTCCACCTACAGATACGTATCAACATCCTACATTCCTTCCTTCTATCTGATCTATGTATATGCGGATCAAGTGACCATGACCCTGCTACCCAAGCATGGTTAGTACATCCTGTGCAAGTACTGAAAATAGCAAATAATTATATCATTATTATTGGGCAAAGCGTTACTATGAATAGCATTCTATACAACTGTAAATCTATAAATTATACAAATTATTTGCACATGTAGGATTATAGGGACTGGATTTCATGAATTTTAAAACCGGAATTTTCATTTTTTTTTTCTAAAGTCACAAACGTAAACCTTCCAAGAGGTCAGTGAAGCTTCAAGGAAAACGATCCCAGATTTCTACCAGTAGTTTACCAACAGATATATATATATTTCTTTGTCATAGAATAATGTGGACATTGTACTCCTACAAGTTACAGTCCATTATGTACAGAACCTAATCTAACCAGTGTGAGCCTAATCCCTGATGTGCTGGGAAGTACACATGACTGACCACACAGTACATATTACCAAGGTGTCTGTTGTCACAAATACGTATAAATCCCTACAGACCAATCTACAAACGACCATCTGTAGATGCATGCCACACATATGATGGCCTGTCATTTTCACTTCCTGAACAACATGCACTAACAATGGATGACAATAGGTACATTTCCTATCACAAAATATATACATACTATTTTCATACAGATCTCAGCTACACACCGACACAGACACAGTTATACTATATAACCTACGTTTACCATCATCACTTTATTTTATAGGGTGTAAATCAACATTAAGTGATCTTCTAATAGCAAGTAGTATATATATAGCTTCATTTTAAATAAATCACATAATAATCTGCATGGAAACTAGTCTCATTCCAATCACGTACTATATTATAAAAGCATGTTTTTCCACAATACCAACATCATGTCATCCCTCAGCTTCAGAGCTTAAATTAAAGCTTACTTTCTTTGCACAGCTTCATTCTACAGGTAACTGAAAATTATTGTAATATTATTAAGGGATTTCCATTCTAGATCCAACGTTATTCCTGTGTACCAAACAACATTTGTAAACAATTTGCTATTTTTCTGCATAAAAGAATGAAAAACAATTACAGCCAATACAGGGGTTTACAATTCCACAAGCCAAAGGCCCTAGACATGTTAATTTAAGCCTTTGCCTATTAGACCAACAAAAATTACTTTTGTTTCAACATCATATTTTTTTTTTATTTTGAAAGATATTTTTACTACGCTTAAATATAGACCAGGAGTTCGGACTTTAACCGTGCAGATCACTAAATGCCAATAAAAACTGTAGGGGAGGCACAAAAATCTAGGATAGGTAGGGTAAGCGGAAACACAAGATTTTTTTTATTTGGCCTTACCAAATTTTTGGGGATATTTTTAAGTTCTTTGAAATTATAGGTTGTGCTGTACTAGTAGAATTTTTCAAAATCTGTCAGCAGGCCAGTACTGTACTGTTCACAGTATGTTAATTGTTCAGTATTATATTAGACAAATTAATTGTTTTCCATCAATACCTAAATCAACCTGTTATCATCTATGTATGATAGAAATTATAATTATTAATTTATGTGGATTATACACATATACAATAAACATTCTTGTACAGCAACGCTTGGTCTGAATAAAATGAATATCTAACAGATTAATATTTCATACTGTTATCCAAATAATATCCTAAATGTATAATTCAAATGTTATTTTTGATAAATTGAAATATTATGAGTATAACATTCGCGCATTTAATTAGAACCAACAGAGTGATATGAGGTTGTCAGCTGTGGCTTTGTACACGACACATGGGCTAGTCAAGAGTCAGATCCTGGTCTTATCTACAGGACCATTTTAACAGGTAAATGTTCCCTGTGCCTAATGATAACACATTAACATTCTATTTCTTCTATTTGTTCTCTGAATCGCTAGTGTCCCCAATACACAACACATCCTTAGTCAAAACAAAAGTAGATATTTAAAATCACAAATTTAAATGAAACTGTGAAGTCATTTATGTGATAAAAGCACATCAATATTAATTAGTTCATGTTAATGCCAAATGTCAAACAAAAAAGCTAATAAGATACGCTATTATTCACTGTTAAACACACGCTTTCAGGTAGCAAAACAGGTCACGTTTCCGTTACGTTCATTGAAGCACAATGAGAAAATAGATCGGCATTTTTGGACCATAAACATTGACTGTTTAATAGTGTATTATGTAACATACATAGGATTACTCATCTACAAAATGAATAGCAATAAAACTAAATTCAACAGAAATAAACAGTAGCACTCTACACGAGGTTATACACACACCGTAACATTGTAATTCGTCACCTGTAGCAGGCGAACAAGCAACAAGCACCGAACAGCAAGTCGGTCAACCCCCGATTGCCTGACCTTTCTGACACGTATACGGGGTTGTACAAAATAGGAAATAGCACGTACTGATATAAACATAATATTTAAACAACATAAGTTTCATTCAATACTAAAGATATCATGCTTACCTATTTCCACGTGAAAACACACACAGACAAGACAGCACAAACACACAACAAAATGGCGGACGGTGGTACCCACAATGCTTAGTACCTATAAACAGAACCTGAATACAAGCACGTGGTTGAATCGCTGAAATTAATATCGAAGCGTTTACTAAAGCACCCAACAAGAAATTATAT